TTTCTGTTGCTCCACATCCTCACCAACATTTCATAGTGTCAGTGTTGTAATTCTTAATCAATCCAATGTGTAGAAGACAATGTCTCATTGTGGCCTTGACTTCCATGTGCCTGGTCACCAGTGGCCTGAAGTGTCTCTTTGTACTCTGATCATAGTCATGTCATCTACTGTGAAATGCTGGTTCATGGTTTTTGCTCATTTTTTCTTGAATGGTTTACCCTTTTCTTCATAGGTTCTCAAAACCCATCCTCTGTCAGTTATGCAGGGAGCTTCACAAAGTCCATGGAAAATGTGTATCAGGAAAAAGTATTCATGCATTTCAAAATAATTCCATTTTTCCCTTAACTTTCTGAAACATTCTTTTTTTTATACATTTTTTTCTTTATTTACATTCATTCACTGTACATCATTACAGCATACAAAATGAGATTTTTCCATTGAGAATACACTGTATATTGGCTCAATCAAGCACATCAACATATGTGTTATTGTCAACAAATCATTTTCCATTTCTTGTTTTCTGTATATTTTGCCTTTTTTCCCATCCTTGATTCCCTATCTCACCCTCTGCCATCTCCCACCCTCCTCCCACACTGTGTCTGGTATCTATTGTTGCTTTCTATGCCTCCCCCATTTTATTGTTTCACTAAATATCTTAATAAATCTAAATATTTTCAATAGCAAGCACAGCTGATATGTACATATCCATGAACACAAGACTGACTTTAGGCATAAACCTCAGTGAATAGAATGAACATACTATAACGTAGCACCTAACTAGGGCTATATAGCTTAACTGCAGTCATCAAATAGGTATTTCTAATGCCTTTTTTTTTTTTCTTCTGAAAATTTTTTTTTTTTATTAATTTACATTCATTCCCTGAGCATCATCACAACATTCTAAATGTGGTTTCCCATCTAGAATATACTATATAGTGGCTTAATAATGCATGTTATCATCCATAATATTCCATTTCTACTTTCATATATATGTTTTTTACCCCATGTCTAGCCCTCTGCCCTATTCCACTCTCTTATTACACTATCTCTGCTGTCTACAGTTGTTTTCAATCCCTTTTCCCCCAACATTTCGTTGGTCACACAATATCATAAGTAATCTAACTACTTTCAATAGCAAGATCAGCCGATGGTTTCAAGAAAAGCAGTTTTGAACTGGTAAGGATATTTCTTTGAAACTTAAAGCCTAGAAACAGGTTAGTATTCTGTTCAAATAGTCGGAACATGAATCTATTGATAGCTGAAGACAGGACAAAAGTCCTTAAAACCAGACAACAAAGCTTAGAAGAAAAGCAGCAATATTTTAGTCAAGTCGTAGAATACTGTTTCATCAGTTCAGTCTCATGTACTTAATCTTTCTTCTGTATCTGTTGAGGTTCGATGTTCCAGATTGAAATCTGGGATGTAATACTCAACTCCAGCTTTTGGCCCTACAATTAAGTTGCCCATTTTCTTAGTTTCTGAACTCTTATTTCTGTGTGTCTGCATTTAATTTTACTGACATAGCACTCCCTTAAGAACTTCTTGGAGATCCGGTCTGGTGCTGGTAAATTCTTTCAGGTTTTGTTTATCTGGGAAAGTTCGTGTCTTTTCTTCCCAAATGAACGATAACCTTGCTGGGTACAGAATTCTCGGTTGAAATTGCTTTTCCCTTAATACTTTGAATACATTTTCCCATTCTCTCCTCGCTCTCATTGTTTCCGATGAGAGGTCTGCCGTTAGTCTGATGGGATACCCTTTGTAGGTAACTTGCCTTTTTTCTCTTGCCAGTCTTAGTATCTTGTCTTTGTCTGTGGTTTTGGTCAATCTGGCTGTAATGTGTCTTGGAGAAGATCTTCTTGGGTTGATTCTATTTGGGGTCCTCTGTATTTCTTGGGTCTGAATCTTTGAGTGCCTCTCCAGGTTTGGAAAATTTTCTTGTAAGATTTCATGGAATAGATTATCAATGCCCTTATGAGTCTCTTCACCTTCTGGGATGCCTATTATCCGGATGTTTGGACGTTTGATGGTATCTAGTACTTCTCGCATATTATTCTCAAATTTTTGGGCCATTTTCTCAGTCTTCGCGGTGGATTTTTCTAGGCCAACCATTTTCCATCTGATTCTTTTGTAAAGTATGAAATTCCTCTTTGAGATCTTGCATGAATTTCCTTACCTCCTGGAACTCTTCAACTCCTTTCTCCTTTCTCTTCAGCAGTTCCTTGTCTCTCTTCTCTTCCATCTCTGTTAGCTTTGCCATTATGAATGTTCTGAATTCTTTATCAGACATTTCCATGATTTCCATTGAACTGTGTGTGGATAAAGAGGAGCTATCCTTTTCCCGTGTGGGAGAGGTATTTTCCTGCTTCCCCATATTTCTTGTGGTCCTGCAGCGATTTCTAGTCATCTGGTGGATGGTCGGTTTCTTCCCAAGCACGCGAGTTTTGGATGCTGGAGGCCCAGTTATCAGTGGGACATCTTCCTTTCTCCCCAAAATCGCTGAGGCAGTTTCTCTGTTTTTGTAGAGCTCTCTATCCTCACCATTCTTACTTTCAGTAACATACTGCTGGTTCTATCCTGAAACATTCTTGTACATCAAATGTATAACTTTAATACTCTTGGAAGAAAATACAGATTAGTATCTTTCTGATTTCAAGGTAAAAGAATTCTTAAATAAAACATGCCAAAAAAATGTTAACTCATGATGAAAAGATTGATATAATTAAAGTAATAATTTCTGGGACCAGCAATTGTCATAATGGCTATGTTGCTGGATTCCCATGTAGTCAACCATGGTTTGAGTCCTGGACCCAGTGGCTTAAACTCACGCTGGGTGCATGTGTGTGCGTGCCCAAGGTCCTGAGAGGAGAATGGAGGAGAAGGGATTGCGGTGTGGCCAATCCCCCTGGGGAATGATTTCTTGCTTTCTGTCTCTGTCTTTCTGGTGAGCACATGTGCCCTATAGCAAAAACCTCTCAAAAAAAAAAAAAAGTATTAATGTCTATTCCCCAAAGACCCCTTAAAGTAACTGAAAAGATAAGCCGAGTTTAGGAGAAGATGTATATGCATATGGAGCTTTTTTTAATTATATTTTTTATTACCTTTTAACTTCATTGCTTGGATGTGCTTTGTATAATATCTACTCTTGGAAATTTTTTAGCACTTCCTTTCTAATCTACTGTAAAGCCAATGATTGCAAATGGTCTGTGAGTGCTTGAGAAGACTGATTGTGAATACAGGACTCCATTATTGTCCATTAGAGCAAGCTCATTACTGTGTGCAAGTCTTCTACACTTGGCTAATTTTTCAGTTTTGCTATCAATAATTAAGAAAAGAATTTAAAGTATCTCATGCTGATGGTGGATTTGTCATGATCTTCCTAGACTATTCATCTTTTAAAGCCCTATTTATTGAAGTAAATTGAAATATGAAAAAAATTCACTATTTGTTTTTAATTTCCAAAGGGCACTTCATCTTGCCAGAGAGACAAAAGGAGAAGAAACTTCCCTCTCCCATGGGGCATGGTCCCTTCTCCATCTTTCCATCCTGTTGGAATTTAGGGCATGCACATACATGTGCCTGGCACATTCTTTCAAGTTGCTGGGGCAGGGATTTGAACTGCAGTCAGCCATGTGGGATCTGGTTCCCTTAACCACTTGGCAATGAGGCTGGCCCCCAAAGTCACTTTTAAATGGACTTAATAAGAAAAAGATGATTTCCTGGTTGAGATCCTAGAACTGAAAAAAGGGCATTAGGGATAAACTGAAAAAATCTGAATAAAGAGACTTTAAGTTAAAAATAATGTTTCAGGACCATCAGGTATCATGGAAGTTAAGACATCTGGAGCCCACATGGTCACTAGCATGGTTTGAATCTTGGACCTAGCAGCTTGAAAATCATACCACGTGTGTGTGTGTGTGTGTGTGTGTGTGTGTGTATCCCAAATTTCAAATGGCAACTAGAAGAGGAGAGATTACAATGTGGCCATCCCCCTTGCAAAATGATTTCTCACTTTCCTCGTCTCTCTGCCTCCAGCAAGTGCATGCATCTTATAGCAAACAAATAATAATAATAATCAGTATAGGCTCACTAAGTGTGACCAATATATCATCTTAATGTGAGGAACTGGAGGAACGGGATGTGAGTATATGAGAGCTCCCTGCACTAATTGTGCAATTTTTCTGTGAATCTAAAATATTCTAAAACAAACAGGTTGCTTTTGTTTTAGAGAGAGAGATTTTTGCTATAGGGTATGTGCACCCATTGGAGAGCCAGAAAGAGAGAAAATGACAATTCATCTCCCAGAGGGGATGACCATGCCACAATCCCTTCTCCTCCATTCTCCTCTCGGGATTTTAGGCACACTTGACTGACATACATGGTATTTGCACTAGAAAAAGTAATGTTAAGTCACCTGCAGTTTGAGTCCTGGACCAGGTGGCTTAATGCTAAGCAAAACAGGCCAGTCTGTGAAAGACAGGCATTGTATGTCCCTGCTTAATATATACCAAATGTCTGCACTCTATAGCAGAAACTAAAAGATTGAGTGTTGTAAGAGCAAGGAGGCCAACTGTAGATACTAGAGAGAGTATGGGAGGGGGTGAGTAATAGAGAGTGGGAGGGTGGGGATCAGGGAAAAAAGCAAGCAAAACACATAGCACAAAAATTAGAAGTTATCTGTTGATGATAATGTAAATGGTAATGTCTTTGACTTGACTAATATGCACCATATGCATGCTGGGAAAAGCCATGTTGTACACTGTAAAGATGTACAATGATTAAATAAGAAATAAATATAAAAAACTCACACTTTAATTCCATTTTTCCACAAACTTTTTGAAGTCCCCTTATATTTGTATACAATCCCTTCACACTCCTAGAATGGCTATAATAATAAAGTCAGACAATCACAAGTACTGACAGGGACAAAGAAAAACTGGAAACTGGCGTGCAGTTGGTGTCACCTGGAACTTGAGCTGCACGTGGGTGTCCGAGGTCTGACAATGGCCAAGAACAATTTTAAATGTCAGAAGTCCAGGAATGTATTTCACATAGCCAGCGAAAAAGACTTCAAGGCAAAAAACAAAGCAAAACCAGTTACTATAAATCTTAAGAAGATAAACATGGTGAATGACGAAAAGGTTAATAGAGTGAATAAAGCTTTTGTAAACATACAAAAAGAACTTGCACACTTTTCAAGAGGCCTTTCTCTAGAACCTCTGCAGAAAGATCTGGTTCCTCAGCGGCATCTTGAAAATGAACTTATTAACGTTGATGAAGCTACAAGATTAATGGCTCAGTTGTAAAGCAGTGATGATTTATCAAAGTACCCAAAAAGTTTAATAAATTAAATGTTTCATACAAAAAAAAAAAAGAAGAAGAAAAAGAAAAACTGAAAATGTCATACATAGCTGGTAGTAATATAAAATGGTATAAGGCTTTGGAAAACAGTGTCAAGCATAAAAAAATCTGAGGTGTGTCCTGGCACCATCAGGGACCAAGATGACTGAAGCTATGCTCTAAACCCCATCTTCTAGACACCTGAAACACTGAGACAGGTAGGACGACCTCTGTCTTCTCTCTGTCTCTGTTTCTCTCTAAGTTTTTTTTTTTTTAATTTTTAAAACACTTCTTCTCACCTTGGGTCTTTTCTTTTCCTGCTCATTTCAGAAGCCATTTTAAATCTGAGGTGTGTCCTGGTGCATTTGCACAGCACGCTGGGTACTATGTGGTTTTCAATTTTTACCTTCAATTTTTTTTCTCTTTTCACTGTTTTTTGTTTATTTTTTCTTTCTTTCTTTTTTCTTTTCCTTTCCCTTTTATGTACTTATTTGTTTATTTTAACCTTACTTTCCCACTCTGCTCTTCAGTCTCCACACACTGAGTGTCTAGACAGGCCCAGGTTCACAGTAGCATCTGAATACTTTCAGGGTCATTGAAATCCTCAACACTTATTAAACCTCCTGCCTTAAGGAAGAAACTCCTCTTTCTTTTGGAGAGGTTTTTGCTATAGGGCGTGTGCGCTCCCCAGAAAGACAGAGAGAGACAGAGAGATAGAAAGTGAGAAATCACCCCCAGGGGAGATGGCCACGCCGCAATCCTTTCTCCTCCATTCTCCTCTCTGGGTCTTGGGCATGCACACACATGCGCCCGGCGTGAGTTTAAGCCACCAGGTCCAGGACTCGAACCGCAGTCGACTACATGGGAGTTCAGCGACATAGCCATGACACTAACTGCTGGTCCCAGGAAGAAACTCCTTTTTATTAATCAGAACTCAAAATACCATGTTGCAAAACACAGTAGAGGAGAGATTTTGTCAGAATGATCAGAAACCACTGCAGAGGCACAAGAAATATGAGACACCAAGAAAATATTTCTCCCCTAAAGGAAAAGAACAATCCTTCATCATCCATGAACAGTACGTGGAATTTGTGGAAATGTCTGATAGAGAATTCAGAATATTCATAGTGACAAAACTAAATGAGATGCAAGAGCTGAGGGATGATGAACTCCAGAAGATGCCAAGAGAAAAGAGACGAGTTCCAAGAGGTAAAGAAGTTCTTGCACACCATAAAAAGAATTAAATGGAGCTGTTCTGGATGAAATCTGTAATGCAAGAAGTCAAAACCTCATTCGAAAGTATTAAAAGCAGATTAGTCCATGTAGGAGATCAAATCTTGGATATTGAAGGCAAAAACCTCTGACCTAAAAAAAAAAAAAAAAAACCAGAAAATAACCAAAAAAAAAAAGAATACTATATGAAAAATACTAGATACCATTAAGTGCCTAAGCATCTGGATAATCTCTATCTCAGAAGGTGAAGAAACTAATAAGGGCATTGATAATCTATTCCATGAAATCCAAGAAGAAAAACTTTCCAAATCTAGAGAGACATTCAAATATCCAGACTCAGAGCCAGCCTGTGGCATGGTGGTTAAGGGCGCTGGACTTCCATATGGCCAACTATGGTTGGGTTCGAGTCCTGGCCCTGCCGGCTTGCTTTCTCATTTTCCCATTCTCTCTGTCTCTCTGTCTCTCTCTCTCTCTCTCTCTCTCTCTCATTCTGTCCCCCGCTGGTCAAATTAAACTAAAGAAAGAAAGTCAAATAAAATAATTCTTAAAAATTAGAAAATTTTTTTAAAAATCCAGACCCAAGAAATACAAAGGACTCCACATAGAATCAACCCAAGATCTCCTCCAAGGCACATCATAGCCAATTTGGCAAAATCCACAGACAAAGATATGACACTAACATTGGCAAGAGAGAAACGTCAGGTTACTTACAAAGGTTATGCCATCAGGCTAACATCAGACCTCTAATCAGAAACAATGCAAGCAAAGAAAGAATGGGAAAAGATATTCAAAGTGTTAAGTGAAAAACAGTTTCAACCAAGAATACTATACCTGGCAAGGTTATCCCTCATATGGGAAGAAAAGATAAAACATTCTGATAAACAAAATCTGAAAGAATTTACCAACACCAGACCAGCTCTTCAAGAAGTTCTAAAAGGAGTGCTTTACCAGGAAAACTAAAGACACTCGTACAGAAATAGAACAAAAAGCAACCAAGAAAATGACCAACTTAATGCTAGGGGCAAGAAAAATCAATAATAAAGTTGAATATTAACTTCCAGGATTTAAATGGAAAGATCAGACCACAACAACGCTAAAAACGCAACAGAAGAAAGATTAACTACATAAGACTGAACTGGTGAAATAGAACTTTATGACTTTTGAGTAAAACATTACTGTCTTTTTCTTTACTATGCTTTGTGTTCCCAATTTAAGGATTTTTGCTTTCTTTTGAGCTGTGGATAGGTTCAGCAATTTGTTAAAATGGTTTTTCTTCTAGTTTGTTTGTTTCTTTAAATGGAAACATAAACTCTTCTCCCTTCCTGACCCCTCTGGAATTGGAAAATATCTGGGAGTATTCTTATTTGTGGCAGGAGGGTTATTTGCATAAATTCAGTAACACCTGTTGCCTTGAATCAGAAATCGGAAATACTCGTTATTGGACAGGGCTTCGACTGGAATATCATCACTGAAGATTAAACCCGAAAACTATGGAACTAAGGTGGATCTCAAGTAAGCCAACAGAAGCCCTTGGAAAGATGGCCCGGCACCACAAACAGTTCTGCCTGGCAGGGAGGATTAGAGGAGTCATATTAGTACCATAAAATAACCTGGACTTTTCCAGCCCAGCATTGTAATCAGTAGAGATTGCAGAAGAGCAGCCACAACCAGAGGATTATCTGGAGGAAGACTCTGAAGGAGGAAAAAAGAGACTGATCTTTGCTAGTAGATGCTATATCACAGAACACTTGGTAGGCAGGGCTGAATTTAAAATTCAGGTTTTTGAAATTTCAAAAGTTTTTTATTTACTGTCAAGAACTCTGGAGTATGAGCAAAAATTTTTTGATATGTGAAGTAAATGTTTGTGAGGAAAATGTAAAAATAAATAAATAAATAATTTTAAAAAGAAAAGAAATTAAACATAGATTTACCCTATGACATATATCTTTGTTCAGATACCTATTCCTAGGTATATACCCAAGAAGATGAAAAACAAAAGACTCCATTTATGATACGTATGATCCCATTTAAATGTATTCTGGACATTATGTCCAGGCTGGCCCCACAGCTAGTGATTAAGGGAACCGGATCCCACATGGCGATCTATGGCTTGAGTCCTGGCCCTGGAAGCTTGAAAAATATGCCCGGCACATGTGTGTGCATGCTCCAAATCCCAACAGGACAGAGAAATGGAGAGGAGACGGCAGGGTGGTGTACCTCATTGGGGGAGCGGGCGGTGCTTTCTCCCTCTTCCTCCCTCTCGCTCTAGTGAGTTCACGTGCCCTTTGGTAAATTACAGAGAAAAAAATCCACACAAAAAGCTGTACATGAATATTTATAGCATATTGTTCACAATAGCCAGAGGACAAACAGTGCAAAGAGCCATCCACAGATGAACGGGTGAACAAAATGTGGTATTTTCACAATAGAATGTTATTCAGCCATAGAAAGGAATGACGTTTTAATGAACGTTACAGCATTGTGCTAAGTGAAAGAAGCCAGAAACAGAAGACTCCATTTATGATATGTATGATTCCATTTATATGTAATGTCAAGGCAAATCCATAGAAAGATTCATAATTGTCAGGATCTGGGGGAGAAAGGAATGGGAAATTAATGCCAATGATTATGAGGTTTCTTTTTGGAATGGTAAAAAAATTGGGAATTAGTGGTAATGGTTGTACAACTTTGTAAATATACTAAAAACCACTGCGTTAAGCCAAACTGTGATGGCGCAGCAGTAGCACACGCTCTGCAATGCTGGAAATCAACCCAAGATCTCCTCCAAGGCACATCATAGCCAATTTGGCAAAATCCACAGACAAAGATATGACACTAACATTGGCAAGAGAGAAACGTCAGGTTACTTACAAAGGTTATGCCATCAGGCTAACATCAGACCTCTAATCAGAAACAATGCAAGCAAAGAAAGAATGGGAAAAGATATTCAAAGTGTTAAGTGAAAAACAGTTTCAACCAAGAATACTATACCTGGCAAGGTTATCCCTCATATGGGAAGAAAAGATAAAACATTCTGATAAACAAAATCTGAAAGAATTTACCAACACCAGACCAGCTCTTCAAGAAGTTCTAAAAGGAGTGCTTTACCAGGAAAACTAAAGACACTCGTACAGAAATAGAACAAAAAGCAACCAAGAAAATGACCAACTTAATGCTAGGGGCAAGAAAAATCAATAATAAAGTTGAATATTAACTTCCAGGATTTAAATGGAAAGATCAGACCACAACAACGCTAAAAACGCAACAGAAGAAAGATTAACTACATAAGACTGAACTGGTGAAATAGAACTTTATGACTTTTGAGTAAAACATTACTGTCTTTTTCTTTACTATGCTTTGTGTTCCCAATTTAAGGATTTTTGCTTTCTTTTGAGCTGTGGATAGGTTCAGCAATTTGTTAAAATGGTTTTTCTTCTAGTTTGTTTGTTTCTTTAAATGGAAACATAAACTCTTCTCCCTTCCTGACCCCTCTGGAATTGGAAAATATCTGGGAGTATTCTTATTTGTGGCAGGAGGGTTATTTGCATAAATTCAGTAACACCTGTTGCCTTGAATCAGAAATCGGAAATACTCGTTATTGGACAGGGCTTCGACTGGAATATCATCACTGAAGATTAAACCCGAAAACTATGGAACTAAGGTGGATCTCAAGTAAGCCAACAGAAGCCCTTGGAAAGATGGCCCGGCACCACAAACAGTTCTGCCTGGCAGG